ATCTTCATGCATGCACTAAATCGTAATTCTAGCCCAGGGCTACTTTAGATAGGGTGGCTACTTTAGATGCAACAGTGACCAACTTACTGATTGATGTAGATCTTAGAATATACGTAAATCTAATAATAGCTATTGCATAATGATATGGGTAGCGTTCTGAGAAAAGGGCCCAAATTAATAAAAAATTTTCTTCACAAAAAATCAATTATCTCATGAACTATTGATCAGATTCGATTCGTCTCATCGAGAGGAATCGAATATTACTAAAATTATACAGTTCTGATTAATAATTCACGAGATAATTGATTTCTTATGAAGAAAATTTTTTTATCAATTTGGGCCCTTTTCTCAGAACACTGCCCATATAATTGTTGAAATCTTTCAATATTACTGTATTATCATACTGGTTATTCCCACTCTTTAATTTTGACAAATAGAATTTCAAAGATTAGTGAACCACAAAAATCAAATGAGATCATTTCTCTAATTTTAATTAGGGAACACTTTCTGCAGCCCGTTAAAAATGTTCTTTATGGAAGTTTATGATATATTGTTCTAACTCTGATCCTGAGTCGGCAATGGATACGTATCCATTGCGGTTCATTGGATCTCTGTTGACTTTTTTTTCTCAATGGATAACAAAATTGCAAACCTTGCCTCAATCCTAACTATAACGCGGCTTTATAGGCTTTAATGTTTATCTTTTATACAACTTTTTAATCGACTGTAACGTTATACCTGATCTTAAATTTAGATTGGTCAAATATTACAGGCTTTTGATTGGAGAATTTTTTTAACCATGCCATATGACAACCATGATTATAAATATTGTATACAACATAGCGGTCTTTAAATCTGATTGGTCAATTACTGAAATGTATCATCATATATACGCCACATATATCATATGACTTTAAACGAATTGGCTGCCATGAAAACGAATTGTCCAGGGGAACCGAATGCATATTCAGAAACTGCACCTTTCGCTCTATATACTATCAAAATAACCACAGAAACAGAGGAGTAATCATGAGGGTTAGCTATAAAGTGTTTTTTTTAAAATTTAGTTGTTACTTATACTATATAAGAATCTCAAACGAAAGAATATTAAAGTCTTTTTTTTTTTATAGTTAGATCTCTAGTAAACGAGCTTATTCTCAAGATTGATAGTATGTTTAGATTGTAGCTGTTAAACGAAGCCTATAGATTTTTGATATTGATGGAAGTCAAAACTGGGTTCAACTTGTGCAGTCTAATAAGTAAAACTGAAATACTTGTTGAAACTATTAAAAGATAGGGTTGAGTTTTGTGTACTTTTTTACTTGTAGTTGTTTACCATTCTTTATAATTTATTTATATTAATTTAATTAGTATTTTCTTGTTATTATTTATTGTTAGCAATTTAATTTTAATACAAAGCTCTTTATATATGCACCTAATTGATCGTTTAAAATTTAAAATTAAAAATATCGATTTTTTTAAAAAAATACAATCGGATTATATATATGACAATAACTATCAGATTAAATTAATAATTATTGTTCTGATTAAATTTAAATAAATATATCTTTTATTCAATTAATACTATAATATTTTTTCGAAATATTTTTACTTTGGGTTTCGCTTTTAGTATAAGTTTATTAGCCAATCAGATTTTGTAAAATCACGAATTGATCTACAAAAATTAGCCAATCGGAATGAAAGCCCGCTATGCTATTGTATACCCTACAAAAAAGGTCGGTCCGTGTTTTCCCGTAAATGTTATATATTCGCGGATTTTATAATCTTAAATCATGGAGATTATTCGGCATGTTTGGATTTTATTGAGTATGTTGCAGATTCAGGGAGTTTTCACAAAAAATATAGAATAATAATGGAAGAAATTTCTTACAGGGATAATTAGACTGTTTAAAGTTAGTTGGCTGGTTAACTTCAATGTTTGGGCTCAGGCGTGAGGGGATAAGAATTTTAAACGAACACGCTTTAAGTTCAGCGTGCGGATTTCTGAAAACATTTATGAAAATGTTTTCAGTAGTTAATTTTGGCTGCACCTGTCAATCTATTAACACTAGTCCAAATGAAAAAATCAGTATCAGTTCACATTATATTAATGGGCTGTCGAGCGTGTTGAATGTACAACGGTTTTTGTCGCCATTCTGTTAGTATTCTACCAATATTCAGCTAGTCAACTAACCAAATATTGACAAACTTGCAGAATTCTTACAGAATACCGATAATTGCCAGTATACATTCAGTCATTCAGCAACCATTAATATAGTTTCAACTAGTGTGAACTGATACTGATTTTTCATTTTGATTAATGTGGGTTAGTTCTTATACTAATGTCTCCCAAGTGTGTAATCGAATTAGAATCACTATGATCGGTTAAAATTTCTTTATACGAACATAGGGATTGGAAACGTTTAGCCGCATAAAATTTTTTTTATATTGCCAAGCCGAATTATGTTGACTCTGGGTCAGGAAAATTTTAATGCCAGCTGAATTAAACGGTTAATACGGTTAAACGATTAAACGATTAAGAAAATCTTAGCGATTCCAATACCTGTATGACCACTAAAAAATGTATAAAAACTTTAACTTTTCACCTTTCTCAAAGAATTTTTTTTAAACCACAATAATTATGAACCAATCCACTGGCGTTCAACTACAAAATAATAATAGCCAGCTACAATGGTTGCAGAATATTGGTGGACCACAAAATGCTAATGGCCAACTTCAAAGAACCACAAATAATAGTATGCTGCCTATGAGACCGCATAACATTGCAAATCTATTTACCGGTACTTCCGTTCAACAATATACTGACTTAATTAACGGCACAAATCCATTCACTGGAGCGCATGGTGTAGAAAATCCACCGCCACAGAACTCTGAATTTACGACACAGCTGTTTTTAGGGGGTTCATTTCCATAAAAATTATGGTTATGTATAAATATAATTTTTTCTAAGTTAGGGTTTTTTATGATTAAATTATTATTATTATTTTATGATCTTATATGTATTCATTCTAAATATAAAGTTGTCCTTAAAATCATGTAGTTACAGTAAATAATTTTAAATTATATAGAATTTTTATTTGGTGCTTTTCATTGATCTAATTTTGCGCAATTTAATGCAGAAGGGCTAGAATTAGTTCACTATCGATTATCATTATAACAACAAATTCAATGTGTTTTAGAGTAATATTCACATTTCAGTTGATTAAGATATTTGTCATGATGAATTTCTGGACATGATCAGTACAAAATAGCTTTTAATATTATAATGGTAAAATAATGCACTTATAATAAAACGCATCTTGGTGCTTTACATCTTTTATGGTTTTTTCTATTTTGAGAAAATCTCGTTTAAATTTGTGTAACAAATAGCAATGCTAGCCAACACAATAAAGTAGGTATCGACGGCTAAGGTTAAGTTAAAAGTGGTCGGATTGGTATTACCGGTTTTTTCTAGATAAGGGTAAGATCCTTATATTCTATCATTAAAAAATTAATTGTTACAAGTGTAACTAGAAATTCATTTGTTTGTCGTATCTTTATCTGGTATGCTTGTCCGTTATTGTCGTATTTAAGATTATAATAATAATATTGTCTTTTTAGCTTATCCAATATATTGTCTAGTAATTTTGAGAGGTCGATTACTTTTGAATATTTTTCTAATATTGTTGCGGCTTTAGTTCTGTCATTTTTGTCAAAGATAGTCAAATATTTATATCCCATATAGAGATGGTCAAAATTCATAAGTTGTTTTTCTATTCGCTTTAATGGTGCTATTTGCTTCTGGATTAAGGTTTTGAATAGTCGTCCTTTTTTGATTTGTTTTGCAGTTATTGTTTCCTTATTCATCATGATTTCTTCAAATTATTCCATTGTTAACGGTGTTAGTTCTTCTTCTTCAGATTCAGAGTCTATTCCTTCAAATAGTTTAGTAAATGTTTTCTTTGGATTTATTATTCTATGTTGATGTGCTGTTTTAATTCGGTTTACATATTCTAATATAGGATAATTTTCAATTCTTTTAAATATGTACAAAAGGTTCTGTAATATCATTGGTACAAGAGGTATTTGTTGTTCTTCTATTTGTTTTTGGGAATAAAGTTCCCATGGTCCTAAGGTCTCTGGTTCAGTATTTTTAGGCATTTCTTCATTGTTTAGTCGAAAAATAAATAGTCCTAATGTTATAAAATATTTTGCCTGTTCCAGTCTGCAGCCTGTTGCAATCCAATCTTCTGTTGAATAGTATGAATTTTCTTGGATTTTTATTAAATTACTATTCTTTATTACTAATTCAGATTCTTCAAATATTTCTCTTAAAGCCATTACTTCTATAATTTCTTTTGGTATTCTATTCTGGTTTAACTTTCTCTTTCCTCCTATTCTATTGAATGTTCAGTAAAAGCTTTTATTTGGGTTGATTCATTCTGCTAGTAAAATATATGTCTCTTCTCTTATTATTGTAAATCCTATCACTTGGGTCATTATTCTGTTTGGTAGTTGATATGGATTGTGTAAAAATACTTGTTTATTGAGGTATGCTAATAGTTTCAGATTCAAGTATATTTCTAAGTTGTTGTGTGGCTGGTCCTTCAGGTTCAATTTTTTTTTATATCAGTTTAATTCTGGATTTAATGGTTCTCCAGTGATTACATTCTCATTCCCAAATCTTTGTATAGAAGTTTTTGAATTTCTCACAAGTTTGTCCTTCTGATTTCTAGTATTCTCTGCTTATACTTATTCCTGTTCTTTTTTTGTAGATTTCTTCTAGATATTGTTTATAGCTTTCTTGTCTACACTGTCTTTCGAATTCTTCAAAGAGTTCCCCAGTATATGCACTTGTGTTTTGATCATATTGCCACTCAATTGTTCTTTGAATATCTTTTATTTTCATCACTATTCAAAGGTAGTTATCATTATAATAGCAGTTATATATTGTTAAGGTTTTTTGTTCTAAAACTATACTTCTGAGAATTACTTCTTCAAGTTCTGATTCTAAGTCATGTATTAATAGTTTTAACAGGTTTAGAGATTGGTCAGTTGTTAGTTTTTTTGGGTGTTACTTGTCATTCTTCTTCATGTGGTTTGCTATTAAAGCAGTAGTATTCTTCAAATAACAATTCTGAGTTAAGATGTTTCTAATAAGTTATTTAGTTTTCTAATATTTTTTATGTTCTTTTATTTCCTTAACTGTATGTTTATTGAACATTCTTTCTACTAAGAATCTTACTATAATTTGGTAAATTTGCCCTATTTGTATAATTAATTCACTTTGGAAAGTTTCTCTTCAATTTTCTGTGTTTTGTTCTTTTGTATATACAAAGAAGTATTCTAGGAAGTTTATATCTTTGAACTCTGATGTAAGTTATTAATTAAATAGTCAAGTTTTCTTAGGGTGTTTATTAGAAAGAAGATGAAGCTAGTTTCTTTTCTTTTTAGAAATAATGATCTCAATGTATGTTCTGTTTCTTTTGCTTCTTCTCATAATGTTTCTTTGTAGAATTCTTCTTCTATATCTTTGTAAATCGCTCTTAAATAATTTCTTGTTTCTTCTTCTGTTGATTCGTAATATCCTTTTTGTTTGTATTTTGTTATCTTGTAATATAAATCAAAATATTTTTTCTATTAATTTTTTTCCACTTTGTCATCTAATCATTGTAATTCTTTAAGCAATTCTTTGGTTCTTTTATTTATTAATTCTTTTGCTATTTTAATCCTTTCAAATTGTTTAACTCCCTTTTCTGATAATCAGGCTTATATTTCTTGAAAAAGTAAGTTGCTCCTTCTAGTGAGTATAAATTTTTAACAGTATTAATTATATGGGTTGTGATTGACCCTAATTCATTTAGTATTAAATAAACTTTTCTTTGGGCTATTGGGTCTTGTATTTTTTCTTAAATTTAATCTAGTACAGTTCCTAGTTGTAGATTGTACAATATTTAGTTTGTTTAAATATTGTTTTTGTACTGTGGTTAATTCATATTGAATATAATTCCTTCAGTTATATTTATTAATATTGATAGTTGTTTCACAGCTTGTAATAATATTAAGATTATTTCTATCTGATTATTGTTTGTTAATTAGATTCTTCTTTGAAGTCTTTCGATAGTTTCAATTATATCGTTAATTATTTGTTCTTTAGTCCTTTGGTCAAGTATTTCTTTTTCTGGGTCAAATTTTGATTTTCTATATAAGAGATTCCAAATACAGTAAATTTAAATTTTCTTTGTTGTATTATTCTTTCTAGTCTTTGATATGCATTTGTATTATTGTTTACAGTATAACCTCGATATAACGAAGCTTTGTAGCTGGAGGTTTTCTTTGTTATATCAAAACTTTATTAATAGTTTTGTTATATTAGGGATAATTTAAACATAAAAATTAGAAATAATCTTCGTTATCGTTATAT